TATATTGCATATACACGAATACATTAACAATTGTGATCCACTTTATGGGAGCATGTCTTAATTGACATGACCCGAGTTGTAGCCAGAGTCTCTTGGAGGGAGAGTGTGAGTTTGTGTATAGATCTATACTGGATTGACTATCCTACACCTTGCTGCTAGCTACAGTGGGATCGATAGGTCTGCGGGTGCCAAACGTCATACCTTATTTTTCGACTATACGTTGTCGATGTTACCAGTCGATAGTATGGTGCAATTTATCACACGATACCTTAATATAAACCCGGTTTAAGGTAGTTAGTACAGCAGTAGTTCATATAAAACAAAACTACCATACTACAATAATTTACCCATTACATTTTGGTGATAACCTCACTTAAACTTTAATGTACAAACTATATTTTGTTAAATGATAGTTACACTTGGGAAATTACACACTTTTACATCAAACGAGCATACAAAACAGTTAAGCCTTGGTAGAGGGCTACTTTAACAGAAAATATAGGTTTTTCTGAGAGATTTCAAACTTTTACAAACACTTACATACATTTACAACTCATAGTTGCGACAGGTTCAAACGTTTTGATAATAAACCTCGACACTAAAATACTTATGAATTCACCAGCTTAATGCTCATAAACTCTTTCAAAATAAATTGTATTCTCAGGTAATCAGTAGACAGGTACCGATGCTAGCTTTTGAGAAGATGGAGCGCATTCAAGACTCAACATACTATTTTGATTTACATTATATTTTTGGTGTCTAAAACTGTACGGAACATGCTTGTATTAAAATTTTATATTTAATGCAATGGATGATGTTGTTTGCTTATTTACATTTACTGTGTTGTGATACTTTACATGACGTCCTCCGCCCCGGAACATTTCCGCCATTCTTGGTTTTGGGGTGTGACAAAGTCCTTTCCGTATATGAATTTTTAGTAAAGGGGCTTGGGGAGTCGGTTATCTACTCGATGAGTAGCCCTTGTTTTCTGAAGTCTATAAATAGAAGCCAATTACCGAAGCTAAAGCTCTCTCTAAAACCCTTGGGGATTAATCTGCAACTAAAGGTGTAGCTGGAACTCTAGAGTTCGTGGGGAAAACCCTAACCTTCGATTTGAAGGAGATTAAAGGAAATATAAATTTACTCTGTACTTTATATCTTGTTTGAAGCATGTTTGAACTACTAGATCTTGTTTGTGAGTTACTTCCTGCTATAATTATGAGCTAAACCTTATATCTTCTCTTTAGGGTAGATAAATTTATAACTATGGCTTGATTTATGGTTGAATTAATTGTTTATTGGTGACATTTTTTTTTATTCAGCTTGTTAAAGAACCTTATGCATTAACTAAAACTATTTTCTGTTAATTAACAAGTAATTAAGCTGCATGAACATCTCTCAATTGCTTATATCATATGATTTCTGTGAAAACATTGTTATTTGCCTAGGAATAGTGAATGTGAAACTAGGGTTAACTAGAAAGTGGGTAAGTTAATGTGTGAGCTTGTGTGGTAAACCATCAACAAGATGTTAATTGAAATAGTTTAATCACTTGATCACTACTTAAATTGATATGTTTTCTAAGGATTGGTGATAGCAAATGTGGACCTAATCACTGTAATTGGTAGCCAATAACAATTAATCCATTGCGTTAACCATAAAATCAACCATAGGAGTAAATGAATCGAACCTAAACAGAAGTCTTCTTATTATTGAATTTAGTTGGTTTTAGTTACTTTACATGGCAGTGCTTAATTGACATATTAGTTAATTGTTTAAGTTTCTAGTCTTCCAAAAGTAGAAAAAAACTTTTACTTTTATTACTTGTTTTAGTTAACTCTAGTCATCAGTTTAATTACTGTTTCCTTCGTTCGATACCCTGCTTATTCAACTATACCACCAATTGACATGTCCACCTCCTTCGTGTGTCTAAATTATATCTTAAAAGTAGGACTAAAACTAGTGCATTTATATACACATCAAGTTTTTGGCATTGTTGCCGAGGAATGGTTCAAAAATTATTTTTAATTGCTAGTGTTATCAATCCGTTGTGTGAGATTTATCTTGCACAAAGTTACTGCTTTAGTAATCTAGTTAATAGGTTTAGTTATTAAGTTTTTCTGTTTTTAGGACTTTAGATATATATATATATATATATATATATATATATATATATATATATATATATATATATATATATATATATATATTTCTGTTTTACCCTCGAACTCGTCGAGTTCACTCACAAGTACTCGACGAGTCCAAGGCAGATTTTCAGTTTTGTTTTTATTTCATTTTGGTTCTTTTTACGCTTGTTTCTTGCTTTCATTGCAGGAATTACATGACCCGATGTTCAAATACACCTTTTGTTCCCCCGTATGAAGATTCGAAATCCACTCTTAGGAAGGACAAGAACAAAACCGTAGAATCATCTTCAACACTAAAGAAGTCAGCACTTAAGAGCCTCAAATCAGCTTTTAGCAAGAAAAAGGGCCAGAAAGTTGGAGAATCCAACAACACGAAAGAAGACATCGAGTACGAAACCGAAAGGGAATAAAGCAAATCTGACATAGATGGCAGCAACTTAGAAGTCGAACTAGCTAACACCATGGCTAACATCGATGAAGTTCCTATGGGTGAATAGAAGAAAATGATTTATGCTAATACCGGCCTAGGACTCATGGAACCTGCGATTCCCGCAAGTGCCATTCTTTGGGAAGGATCACAAAGACGCATACAAGCATCTTGACGAGGTCAATGACATAGCTGATTACTTCAATATTCCTAATGTGACTCGTGATACTATATTGCTTCGTATGTTACCAGTCACATTTAATGGAGCCGTGAAAGATTGGTTGAAATCACTCCCTCCAGGATCCATCACTACTTGGGCTAAAATGCATGAAAATTTATTGATCAATTCTGCCCTCCCTAAAAAATAGCAAAATTGAAGAAATCCATAGCCAAATATGAACAACAAGCTGGAGAGTCACTTTATGAAGCATGGGAGAGATACAAAGGCTTACTAAGGAACTTCCCACACCATGGTTTAAACAATCAGCAAGAAATCTCCATTTTCTATGATGGAGTGAATGTAACACTAGACAACTCCTTGTTTCACAAGGACCACTCACAATGAAGCCACCCCCAGTGATAAAAGTTCTAATTGAAGAATTCTCTAAACACTCTAGAGAATTTCATATCCCAAGGAATGACTCAAATAGAGGAACGATGAATGCTATTTCGGATGACATGGCGGCAACGATGCCAATATTGCAAAGCATTGATAGAAGAATGACTAAGATGGACCAATCTATCCATGCCATTAGAGTGGGATGTGAAAACTGTAGAGGGCCCCACCTTACTAAATACTGTGACCTTGACAAGAACGTGAAGCATAGAGCTAAAGTGTGTTATTCAAGTGATGATAGATATGATGATGATTCACTACTAGAAAAATAGCCTTTTATGATGCGCAATGCGTGTCATAAAACGCTCAGATGATGCACAAATGCGCGTCAAGGAACGCCTTGTCATAACGAGAGATGACACACTTTTGCGCATCGTCTATAGACAACGCGCATTTACGACGCACATTTAAGACACACATTTATGACGCGCATATATGACGCGCATTTAGGACACGCATTTACGATACACATTGCGTATCAAGGAAAGCCCTGTTATAAATGAAGACGACACACATTTGCGTGTCGTAACCTTACAGCACCCGTGTTTATGACACACAAAGTGTATCAAGGAAGCCGATGTCATAAAGGAAGACGACACTCCGTTGCGTGTCGTAACATTACGATGTGCCTTTACGACTCACAATACGTATCATTAAATCTACTGTCATAAACAAAGATGACACACATTTTCATGTCATTAATTGTAGCTGCTAGTGACTGTACACCTTTACGACGTGCATTTACGACACACATTTACACATAATAAAAAAACAAATATATATACCAAAACATTTATTTTCATCTAAACTTCAAACACGTTACGTAACAAAATTACATATATGACGAATTACCTAAGTTACACTACATGTCAAGTTACCTAAGTAAAATTACTAAAAGTTAATAAAACATGTACAAATGGGTGTCAAATGACTACCTAGCATTACACTACATGTCAAGAGACCATACCTAGCATTTCACTGTTAACCATAACATTGTTTTGTGAATACATTATCAAAAGACCATACATATCATCAATAAATGAAGCCCACAACAAAATCTAACCATTCTTCACGTATCTCATTAATATCATCAGTTGTGTACTCAACTTTGCCATCCCCAATCTGTGAGAAAATTTGCATATTGTTTTTATTAATAAAAAATAGCATGTTAACATATTCTATAACTATAAGTTGCTATATTAAACAAATAAGCATAAAATGTAAATTATTCTTTCATAATAGAGCATTGTACATTCAAATGAATGAAAGCACATTGTTATTTTTGTATGTAACCTAATATTTCAATTATAATTGTGAGAGTTGGATGCCATAAAATGATCCTTTTTCAATTACTTTCCTATTAAATTATAGTAATGAAAGTAGAATGATATATCCTTATATTTTCTTTGACCAACACTTCAATTCCTTCTTTTCGCTAACTCCTTCATGAACCTTAGCATGTAGTAGCCACATTCGGTAGATCTGGGCTGAACTGGACACTACACAATTACATATAAAATGATCATTGCAATTGATCCAAAAAATAAAGTTACAACTTCCATTTCAATAAGGAATTAAGTGTTGACCGTAACATTAACCCAATTTAGTTTAACCCTTTTGTTGGATCAACTTAGTGTAGCGTACAGAACCATTGACCTATAAAAAAACATTAGCAAATAGGTGTTTATTGTATTCACATCAAATGTTTTGATAATCTATATTACTTACAAATCAACAATTTCCTTCAGTTGCATATTGAAATTACCAGAACTCAAGGAATCAAGATAATAGCAAATATCCGATTTCATGTCTAGTACACCCAATACCTAATGTCTTCTACAAAAACCAAAAACAAAATTAAGTCAAATAACATAATTGCAGTCATTTTCAAAATAAAATGTGAAAATCAAACCCGGGATTGTAGGGATAAAGATGATGTCATTGGACTTTCTACTAGACAAACGATCTGCTAAACCTCTGCTTGCATTGTCAATATTCTTAGATTTCCCTTTACCCGTTCTTGGCGAGATTAATGTCGGGTTCACAAAGCAAATTCCATGATCTCTTTCTTGGGGGGCATACTTCATTTTGTTAAACAACACCCTGTTATCATGCAAACACTAAATTCATTAAAATTTTTTTGTTTTAAGATACAATATTATTTAAATTACGTTTCTTTCACTTACACCATATAAGGCACAATAACAGCACCAATCAGCTCATCCATTGTAAAAACCGCTTCAAAATCATCCCAAGTTATGTATGTGTAACTATCATACCCAAAATATCATTCTCACTTTGGACTTTTATTGAATCAACCTTTGTAACTTGTCCATCAACCATCATTGCAGTCATTTTCAAAATACTACTCTTCTGAATCCTTATCTTTGTCTTCATCTATGCTCTGGTCCACCTTATTTGCAAGGTCACATTTTGTATGTTTCTCCGTCTTTTTAATCTTCTTTCTATTCCATTCCCTTCTTCCATATCACCCCCTTCTTCCACATCAGATGGTTCTTTTTGTTTATCATCCTTTTTTCCTGTCCCCTTTTCTTTCTTATTACTACTTATTTCTTCTTTTAAAGGTGTTGCACCTTCCTTCACTGGTGTTGCATCTTTCTTCACTGGTGTTGCATGTTTTTTTCACAGGTTTCTCCGCCACATTTCCCTACAAAAATTATCAAAAATATCGAATGAAACAGGAATCATTTACTGAGGCTGAAAAAGAACTCACTCAAATATCAGAAAAAATAAGAAAACCATGGGCAAATCTGTAAAAAGTTTGTATGTTTTAAATCTGTGAAAATTACTAGGTCAGAGCATCGAATAACTAGGTTTCTTGGCCTACTTAGTATGTGTCCCAGTGCATATTTTACCTAAACAATGCACTCCTCTTCAAGTGGAATGGGTATTAAGGCTTCTCCTTGTAAAATTGTTTCCATCATAACTTCAATGTTTTCATCTGTTGCATAAATGTAAAACATAATTAAGATCCAATCTTCTAAAAATTGAAAATATATAAATAGTAATAATCCAAATATTTTTCAAAATACCCGATGCACTATACTTCACTATGGTTCCTTTAGCGACTACATTTGCAACAAATTCAACCGTAAGAAGACATGAATTATCGTACCAAAATATAGTATGTTAGTTTGTAGTAAAAGAAAATACTTTAAATATATTTTCCATAATTGTCTTCAAGGACTTACACGTGATTCATCCCGTGGTTCCTTTTCAAGATCTTCAATGACACCCCATACTTGGCAACTTGCGGATTTAGAAACATTAAGTACATCTCTTTTTAGTTTCTCCAAGTCATCTTCAAGTTTGTTGATTCGTTTATCGATCCTCGTATTCTCAATCTCCAAGTAGTACTTAACATTCTTGGGTAAATAAAAGTATTTTAGTGGTGTTATAAATTTACCCATTCCTCGTACATGCCCACATTGTTCCTGGGTATCCAAGGCCTCTGTAAGCATATCATGTGTTCCACATGTAACCACTCCAATGCTTCTTGATTTATGCAGCTCATCCTATAAAAAAATTGGGACATATTTTAGAAAAAAATGGGACAAATGTTTTTTTTATATTTGGCAATTAATTAAACTTACAATTTTATCAACATTCATCTTCACATCTGATTCGTATCCTCTTATCTTCAACTCTCTTGCTTTTTTGCACAATCGTGCCCTATCAATCTCCTCTTCGTATTGATGGTTTCTTGCATCTAAATTATCATAAATAACAAAGGCAATTAACATAAATATATACAAATAAAATAATAAATACTTAGTGGGAATCTATGGGATAAAAATGCATATAAGAAAAGTTTAACAAACCTCCCACTTTTTTCTAACTCTATGGGATATAAAATCTTTCGAGTCTTCTTTCTTTATAAACGGATAATCTTTCGGAGGATTGAATAGATTTGCCTTGGGATCTTTACTTCAGTTCTTAATGAACTTGGCATATATATAATGTTTGAAGTTTCTCCACTTCTTCCCGATCGATTGGAGAGTTTGCTTCCGGCTCTTTGGGTCAACTACAAATTCTTTCTGAAACATAAAAAAAGGGTTAGTCCATAACTAGGGACAAAAACAGATTTAAATAGGGACAAAAACATGGAAAAAAACAGATACAGTGGATAATATAAGTTGGTTCAAAAACATGGACAAAAACAATGACAAAAACAGATCTGAACAAAGGTAATAATAGGAAGAAACAGAGACTTACCAAAACATATTGCCATAACTCTTCCTTTACTTCATCACTAACTTCCAACAAAGACTCATAGGTTATGCGAACCATTGTTCTTGCAACCAAACCCTCAAAAGTAGACAGTTTTATGGCTTCCTTTCCAACTGTGACATCTTTTTTATTGTAAGTTACTATAAGTTTCACTTTATTAGCTTTTACTTTTGTTGTTGGACCTCTTTCTTTGGAGTCCTCATCATGATCAGAAGCTGAATCCGATTCCATATCACAAAAACACAGCTTGTTTCCACAAGATTCAAATAAAAATCAATACATTGTTATTTGTTGCAATTGGAAAAAAATTAATCACATTCAAAATCTGAAATAAAAACATATCAAAAACTTTATTATTCTACAAAAAATATTTAAACTATTTTTCCCTCCCCATCCGGAGACGTGCATAAAAAATCATCATCACGGTCCAATAAAGCGGAGTCTTGTGTTAAATCAAAAGTAGCATCAAATTCCAACATATCATCAGTTTCACCATTTGATCCATACTTATAAATCCTATGTGGTGTGAATCCAACAACATGAAAATTCTCATCTTATTGATCTTGAACATTAAATTTTTTTTTTTACTTGACTAGCTAATACGAAGAGTTAAGACTTCTAACCAAGCCTATCAAAGTTAACTACCGTGAATCCTAAATCGTCATTTTTTTTACTCCACGACAAGCAACCCAATCACACATGAATACATGAATAGTAAACATGCGATAATCAAGATCCCATATCTTGTTTCTATAACCGAAGTAAGTAACAATACCATACACAGGATTGGAGTCTTTTGCACTAGCAATCTGCATAGTATGTGCAACTAAAGATACTCCACTGCATTGATTTTTTCTAGACACATCTCGAGATGTTGTATGAAAATGATACTTGTTTATGGAAACACTGCTATATTTACTAACAGCAAAATTAGGCCCTTTGGCCAACCAACGAACATCATCACAAATATCTTACTCGTTAGCCAAACGTTTTCCAACCTATTAGAAAAAGACCTAATTAATTTAATTCAAACAAAATAATTAAAAATATTGTAATTCTAACAATCTTATTTTAAAAATAAACCTCTTTCTTAAAGCAACTAATAAATATCCGACTATGTTGGCTCTGCAACCATGTACTCTTGCGAGCGTGATGGGGTTGAGATCCTTCAATTCCAACATATGTTGCCTAAAGTGTATTATAAGCTAGAAGAATTTTTATATGATAGATACTGGTATAAGTGTATACAGTTTCATGTAATTCTTATTCTATATACGGTTCCACAATAGCAGTGTTTCATAATACATAAAGATGAGCTTGATCAAGTAACTGAGCATCTACAACATCGATTATAGTCTTTGATAAAAGATTGCCACTGCAGATTCTTTCATCAATGTAACACTAACTTTTCAAACAAATTTTTTTCGATTTTTTTTTTTTTTTTTATAAAACATAATTCCATCAATATTCATAGAAACACCCCTTTTAATTGTTCAACAAAATAGTACAAAATCCCAAGATCAAAATGTCAAACTCCAAACGTGTGTGTACGGATCAAGCCGGCGCCTTCCCACGGTCGTCACTAGTACCTGAAACAAATAACATCAACACTGTAAGCACAAGGCTTAGTGAGTTTCCCAAAATACTACATATAACACATATTAGCCACTCGAGGCTATAACTATGTGGGTCCGTGCACCCAAACTCTGTGAACCCTCAGGTTCTAACTCTGTGAACCTTCCGGTTCTAACTCTGTAAACATGCACAGCATCAAACACATAAAAGTAATGCAGTACAACACATAACATACATAGCATACAAATACTCTATCACATAACTCTGGTTACCTACTCAAGGTAAAGTATAGTGAGAAGACTCACCTCGCGTGTCTCGGTAAACCGTAACCCTGAAATCGCTAAACACTCGATCTGCCGAGCTGAAGTCCCCCCTATAGCACAATACATCTCTAATTAACACTTTCCCCAACTAGGGTTGACCATACCATAACAAGACAATCTAGGTCAACGCTGGTCAACGGTCAACTTCCCTGGAATCCTCTCTTGACACGTCGAGCATCCCCTCCCAACTCGACGAGCTCCACCTGGCACGAGTTGTGGGTCCACCACGACTCAACTCGCCGAGTCTCAAGAACAACTCGGCGAGTCTGGTTTGACTCGGTCCACCTGTCCATCCTGACTCCCCCTTGACCCACTGAGTTCACTCATCCCAACTCGGCGAGGCCACTCGCTGAGTGGTCGTGCCACATTCAAGCTACTCGCCGAGTCTGTTCTTCGGACTCGGCGAGTCTGTGCCATGCACTGACTCAATCTTGCTCTAAAGGCCAGATCCAGTCCACTAATCCATAGATCCAGTCCCCCCATGCTTATTTAGCATGTAAAGTCACAATCTTGATGCATAAATAACCTCTACATGATCACAAATGATGTTTTTGACTCTACTACTTCAACACAAGGCCAAGGACTCCATTTCCACCCATAAAGCTTGATGAGTGAGGCCCTCTGGACCTCTATGGATCCAGATCCATGGTCTCAACTCAAAGAGGGAACCAAAGTGTCACACCCCCGAACCAGACGGCGGAAACGTCCGGGGGCTGTTGTGACTCAATTGAATACCATCACAATGAATATACATGAAACGTAACATTATACATCACCAAGCATTGGAATAATACAACTGGTAGCGTTTACATTTAGTACATTGTTCCCTAACATTACATGCCCAAAAAGTAGATTGTTCGGTACTAATTAAACAAGCAGCAAAACGTCACTGAGTACACTTATCCCTTCGTTTTATCTGTTACCTGAGAATACAAGTATTTTGAAAAACGTCAACATATGAAATGTTGGTGAGTTCATAAGTAATGTTTGAAATCCAATGTTTGTATTGTTTCGAAAACCACCAGAAAATCCGATATTTTCTGAAAATAGTATAGTGTAAAAAGTGTGAAGATCCGTAAGTATGCTTGTTTGTTTTCTATAGATGTAAGCGTATGGTTTGTAAAACTCGGTATGTAGTTCATAAGTGTAATAGTTGAAAACCCTAGGAAAACCCGACGTTTTCCTATCACTTTGCTTTACTTAGTTTGTGTACTGTTGTTTCGTTGCGTTAGAGGTAATCGTTGAGTTCCGGAGGCATTGAGAATACAATGGGTGGTGAAGTGTTGTGAAGTACGTTAATGAAAACGTCCACTCGACAACCTTACAAGTGATCCCTTAGGTACCACTCGTAATTCTTCACACAACTCAATCCTCCCGGACATGTGTAGTCCCACGACCGGAGGGAAGGAGAGAAGGTGCGAAACCCTCGGTATTTCCCCGCGTCCTTCAGGATAAATGCAATTGCGAAGGGCCCGAAGCCCAACCCGCAATCGTGAGTTACCGACTTTACTAGCAGCACTGAAGGACCCTTGGGGACCAGCAGCATGTTTTCCATTGAAAGTCCTGTTACGTTATGTCGGATCGGTAAAACCCAACACTTCGTAAGTGAGAGAGAGAGACCTTCGGGCCTTAAGATCAGGTCATTGGGCTAGCTAGGCTCAACGAACAAGATTTTACACTTTTGGGGCCCAAAGATGGTGCATAGACGTCTGTGCACACTCGCATATAATAGTAATCGTTATGGTTATGAATCGTGATATCGTAATGTCATAGTATCGTCGTGTTAGAGGTTTTGGATTTTTATTGGTTCGAGGCCGAACCAATTCGTTTAACAACGACTTTTGGTATTGTGGTATATCGTATTTCGTCGACAAGTGTGGTACCATTAATTGGTCAAATTGAATGTATTAACTAGCCTTGAAGATTTTCTGTTTTCAGCCCTTCGTTAATTATGGAATTTACTCTTTTCACCCCTTTATTTAAAAACTTTCCGGTTTGGTCCTTAAACAAATTTTCTTGACATTTATATATCAATAATCATTGAAATAAGTATTTTCTAGCATTTTTATCATAGAAAACAGTTTAAACCCTTGTAATATCAGTTTCTCGGTTATAGCCCTTGTTTTTCGCAACTTTTACATTTTTGGCCCAATTTGGAAAAATTTTACAATTTTGGTCCCTTTTAAATTTGAGAAGCATTTTAAACCCTTGAAAAGCACATGGAACACTTATAGTCCACTGTTTTATAGAAAAATGCAGTTTTGGTCCTCCAATTTAGAAAATTTCGCATATTGGGCCTTATTGGGCCGAAAATGTCACATTTAGCCCAATAAGCTTGGAATTTATGTTTTTAACCCTCTAAATAGCATATTTTCAAAAAAATACATTATGTAAACTATTTTGACTCATCTCACCCATCAGATTTCGTAATGTTTCATATTAGGCCCTTCAACTTTGTATTTTCAACATTTTATGTCAAAAAAAATGAGTTTTTAGCCCAAATTAAATGTTGTCAAGCCATTTGGCTATTTTTCTTAGTATACTTTACATGTAGTAGTAGTTCTTATGCTAATATAAAATGCATGTCTCGGTTTTTAACATTGCATACTAGATTTAGCATCAAAATCATATAAAACATACATGTAAGCATAGAAAACAACCACAACATACACATAATGATGGATCTACACTTTTGCTTGTATTCTCCCCCACAAAAACTTATAAAAACCGAAAATAAGGGGGTATGAAGCTCACCTTGGGGTTTGGATTTCGGTTTTGATGAAGATAAGAAGAAGGTGGTGTAAGTTATGACTCTATTTAGCTTCTTGAAGTGATCTTCGAATCTTGATGAGTTCTAGGGAGCATGGTCACGAATTTGAGGTGGTAAGAGGAGATTTTTGAAGAGATTAAGAAGTTAAATCATAGATCTAAGTAAGAACTTACCAAAGTTAATGATCTAAATGAAGATCCTCTTGAATGTACACACCAAAACTCGAAAATTTAGAGAGGAAATGTAGGAGAGTTCTTAAGAGACTTATTGGGAGAGTTTTAGAAAGTGAGAATAATGGTGAGGAGGCCTTATGGCCGTGAGTTTTGAAGAGGGGAGAGGGAGAGAGAAGGATTGCCTAGATATATGAGATATTACCTTGTTATATGTGGGGTTTTGGTGCATGGGTGACCACCATGCAATATTGAGGTGGCACTTGCTCATAATTTCCCATTTCTTCTTTTTTTTTTTTTTTTTTGTCTAGTAAACACCTTGGGCCAAGAATTTGGGGCTAGGAGGAAGGAGTTGAAGTGGTTTGGGCTCAATCTTGGCTTTGCTCGATTTTT